GTGCCCAGCTCAGATTTACTGCTCTGTTACAGCAGTGTCTAGGGTAGTATGAGCCCAGTTGCTGCTTATTAAGGATATTTGCACATACAGAATAAATTCAGGAGTTGCTCCAGAGCCTATGCCCCACTGTTAGAAGTTATTTATGCCCCACTGTTCAGAAGTTAATATACATCAGGGTGACTTAAGGCCTGAGGAACAACTGTGTGAGCACGACTTGGCTCAGAGATGCCTTGGGGATATTCTGGACATCTCACCATCCTACTGTGTGCCCTTTCGTGTCCACCAGTCCTATTCATGGGTCACACACACCAGATGTCACCATTCAAGCACTGGAGAGCTGCTAAGTTCTGCCTTTCCTGTCTGCAAACACTGCAAACACAGTTGATAAGCCTGGCAAGTGTGTGGGGAATCATTTTCCAACAAGCCCTGTATTATATCCAGCCATTATACTTGCATGTGACCCCACACTAGGCTCTTAAATTCTCTTGTCCTCTGGACAGATTCAAAGATGAATTCCTGGTACACAGAAAACACATATCCCACATCATCCTCTTCACACAACAGCAAGCTGGATGGCATGAACCAGCTTTTCTTGGAACTCATCCGCAGCAAAACAAGAGATTAAGGAGAGAAAACCCATGGCTCCTGGTAGGGGACAGCCTAGGCAGCCAGGAGCATCTCGCTTCAAAGGTGCTGCCAGACAAAAGGGCTGCAAAAATCTGAGCCGAGGCCCCACAACGGGTTAGCTGCTGGCCTGAGAGCCCTCGGGGAGTGGCCACACTGCAGAGCAGGGTAAGCATCACTGTGTACTTCATTTAAGTGTTTTGTCATGCCCAAGGAGATGTTTTTCCTTTTATTGCTCCTGCAGAACACTGACACGTGGAGCAGAAACTTTTCATTCTGAGTTCTCAGTTTGCTGGGGAGGGTCCAAACAGTAGCATCCCTCAGTGAAAATGCTGCCTTTCTTTCCTGTTGGTCCCTGAGGAGATTGCACCCACATCAGCCAATATTTTAGATCCACAGCAACTGATTTTGCATGATTGTCCCTTTTGGCCCCAAACTCCTATTTATCTGCCATGATGTGACCAGCCCAGCCCAGAGCAAATTCAGAGCAAGCAAACAAGTAAAAAAATAAAAACACTCAACAAAATAAGCCTCACTACACTGTTCTTATGAAGAACGGCTCAGCTCTATTGTCTAGCACAAGGAGCGTGATGCATTTGATCATGCAGAGAATTAATTCGAAAATTGGTTTGGTGTCAAGTTTATCTTTGTAAATGTGAGCAGTTTTTACTGACGAACTCATTTGGATATTATTTTTTCAGTGAAATCCCAGCAAGGCTTTTCTTATGTCACCATAAATCTTAAGAAGTTTCCTTTGTAGTAAAACCTTTATCACAGTATATTTGCAAAACTGTTGTAATCAATATTGCAGAAATGTACAAAGCATAAACCAAGCAATACATTGTAAAGCACAAATAACAAAACACTTTCATGTCCTCTTGAATGCCTGAAGCATATTGCAAGACTGTATGGATGGCACAGTGAAGCTCAGGCATGTTCACACATGAACATTTTAAATACAGAAAGTGCTGTTAGAGGTGGTTACTTGTTGTGGTGTGTCTCCCCTGTTCCTTGGTCAGACACCTGCACTTACTTAGTTTGATGAAATAACCAGAGTTACCTTTCTGATCAACAGCAGCACCACACATCTCCCTCCATCCTTGCAGTTCACACAAGCAGATCCCTTCTTTGCTGTGGCACCAGGTTCCTTCCTCACCTCCATTTTCTCCCATTTATTCTGATTGTGCTGCTAATGAGACACCTTTTTCCTGACCTGTGGCCTCCTGACTGCCTCATGCAGCCCCTGTGATGTTAAATTAAATAAGGCACAGCAGCAAGCCAGCAATCCGACTACTTAAATCAACCTGTGCGAGCTAGGTGGGCTTCATTAACAACTTTTTATTCTGGGCAGGACAGGAAGGAAGGCAGAAGAGGGGAGCTATCACCACTGATGTTTGCCAAGGTCAGAGCTCTATGCTAGAGATACTGAACTGTACTGAAAGTAAGTGTGGAAGAAAAAAACCTGTCTTTGCAGCCATAGTAATAAAGCAAGAGCTGCTAGTGTTTCTTGATTTACATTATCTGTAACTAGTATCAAGATTTTCAAAGATTAACAGAGATGTTAACAGCTGTTCAACATCTGGCAAGCCTAGAAATTAGGCAGAAAGAAACAAGAACTAAAATGGTGCTGTTCTGAGGAGCTGGTGGAGGTGTTTGTAAAGCCCCAGTTGTGTGGGGGCAGAAGTCACTGTAACAGAATGAGAAGTAATTAAATGAGTAAGAGACCATGAAAAGAGATAATTGGGAGAGCTTGGAAAGGAAGGGCTGTGGAAGGGGCTGTGTTTATTTGAAGAGCTCATCAAGGAGGGACTTAAAATGAAGGAGCAGGAGCAGGCTCAGTCAGTCCCAAAGGATGATAGAAATGGGAATATAACAGCAGTTCATGGAGATGAAGGCAGACACTGGTACTGGAGGCCAGGAACCTCCATGGCTTCTATTCATGACCTTCTTCATCCTCCAGTGCTGCTTTACTACTTGCACTGTAAGGACTAATTAAGATTTTGTTCCTCTACAAGAATACCTTAGCTTTTCCTACTGCCTAAGTCACATTATTAGAAACTTGGGTTTATTAAACTCCAGAAGTGATTGCTAATCCATGAATTAATCTATCCAAAGTGGCATGGCTTTTTCTGCTGTGCATCACTTAAAAGTGGCAGTCACCATTTAGGCAGGAGCACTGTGCAGACTGAAAAGGGTGGATAATGGGATCCACAAAGTAATTTGACTCTTGATGGAGAACACGGGTATCCTCGGCTGGCTTTCTCTTGGAGCCCTACCAGTCAGTGTGGGGAGGAGTCCCATGGTTTATATGTCCTGGGCAGCACAGGAGTAGAGGATGCAGATAAGGGCATACTAGGAGGAAATCTTTGTCCTCTTGTGTGGAAGCAATGCCATGGTAACATGCAGTGAAAGCTTAGTTTAAATGCATCTGCTTCATGGCAGGTACCTCACTAAAGACATGGAAGTTGTGATCCTTGCTGTAAATCACTTCTGTAGGTAGTTAAAACTTCTGCCTTCTGTTGGAAATGTCCTAGTGTAAACTGTTAGTGACAGAACACTTATCTGAGTCCTTCAATCCCTGTTTTCTTGGAAAAGGGAGGACTTTTGGGGAGGGTTTTTTTCTTTCTCCTTTTAATATGATGTTTGTTTCTGTAGAAGCCATCCACATGCTGGATGGCTGGAGTTCATCCTGAACATCCCTCTGATGCATCCTTTTCAAAAGCATCATGGCATGGGGGATTAAAGACATTTATAATACAGTTCCTGCAGACACATATGGTGGGGCTAAAAGTGGCAACTTCTTCTTTCTTGGTTCTCATGTGATGCTAGAAATTAAGTAGTTTTAATTGCTTCACAGTCCTAAGGCGAAGTCTCCCATTAGCATCAGCTACTGTATCTTAAAGGTGGAAATGGCAAGCACTTGAATAGCACTTTCTGTCTTCAAAATACTTTGCAGACATTCTGAACATCTAAATTAAGGATCAGTTTCTGTCCCTTTTAACACTTTGCTAATGAGATAAATGTTCAATCTGCTATAAGAAAGGGACAAAGCTCCTGACACCAAATTCTACACTGAAATAGGGCTGTGTTCTGCTGGTTTGTTTTCATGGTGTAAAGTGCTCCCAGAGAACATATGGCTGGTATCACCTCTGCTGGTGGAAATCTTCTGTAAAAGACTGTAAAATCAGGTGCCTGTAAACTTCTGCCTTCAAACAGTTGGTATGAGAGGTGGGCTCCTACCTAGTGCTTGTTCAGCCCTGTGCTCTGAACACAGTGTGAGGGGCAGGGGTCTTGAACTGGCACACGCATGAGCTCCTGGCCCTGGAGAAGGCTGGGGATGCATGTGCACCAGCAGCTTAGCCCCTGTGTGGTGAGGAGCCATTGTCAGACCTCTCTCATCCAGCCTTGCAGAGCCAGCTCCATTGCAGAGAGCTGCTGTGCCCAGGGTCAGGGGAACATTCATTGCAGAAGATGAAGCCGTGCAGCATTCTTATCATTTCCTATCAGTGCCCATTCACCAGTAACTCACAGGGAAGCTGGTCCAGTTGACAGAGATTGTGGCCCCCAAGTTGGAAACGTCTCTGAGTGACCAAGTCTGAAGGAAGAGAAGGCTCTGTCATGTCATTGGTATCATTGACAAAACGCCCATTGACTTGGATAAAAGTATGAGGATGCCCAACAGTGCTGAATTCTGATGTCATCTCTCTGGTTCACTTTGTTTTGCAAATACCCTTTTGTGCTTGCTCTGTATTCTGAATATTCAGGTCATTCCTATGTACAGAGCCCCCATTTGTAATGAGATTGTGGGGTTTGTTGACCCTATTACAGACAGATCGACTAGCAAGTCACACTGATCCTTCAATGCAGGATTTAATAAAAGCCACAAGAGGAGGAGGAGGGTTGCTATTGTTCTGCCCTCAGTGCTGCCAAACAGTCCCTTGTTTTTTCTGTGTCTGTGTGTTCAAACACTGTGTGAACCAACGGGGCGCAGTCAGGAGGCTGGCGAGAGGGCAGCGAGAGGGTTAGCTGGATTCTGGCTAGAAATACTTGTGCAAGTTAGGAAGAAGGCATGGAGGGAAGGAAATTAAGTGGAGACATCTGTGTGGCTTAGCTTTCAGCAGCTCTGCCTGGGGTAAGGGTGGGAGAGTCATGCCTGAGATGACATAACATATTTTGTCTTTTGTGGGTTGGAAACAGAGGAAACTGCGAAAGCGAAGCATGGTGTGTGTCACGCATGGTCCAGGCATACCAAGTACATAATGGAGCAGTGTCAGTGCTTTCTGTTCTGCCTTTCACACCCCAAAGTGACTCTTCAAGGCAGAGAACTGAGGAGAATATGATATGGTCCAAAAACTGATCTTGGACTTTTTTCGCAGACGACTGAGCCAGAGGCCAACTGCTGAAGAATTAGAGCAGAGGAACATACTGAAACGTAAGTCCTGATTCTGCTGACATTTAACCTGAAGCCAGACAATTTGGGTTAGATTTCGTATACATTTGGTGGTTTTTATAAACATGAACTATTCTCTGTAAATATCGCTGATAATAATTAAAAATAATAAAGGGCATCGTAAGTGTAAATAAACGTGGAAGATGAGGCAACAACATCTAGATCTGCAGAAATAGTTCTTTCAAATCAGAGTCAGTAAATTTACAAGAATAAATGACCTAAGGGGAAAAAAATCCCAGGTCTTGAATGACATTCCAGACAGGGGGTCAGACATCCTGAAAAGCTTCCTTTGTGCAACACTTATATAGATGAGCATCCCATTGTAAGTAAAGACATTAGGGCATAGCTCAATTAGCTTTCCTAAAAATCTTCACAGCAATCTATGCTAGCTGGAGCCTTTATTCAATTTAAAAAAGAATCCAGTGTGACTCAGGGCTTTTCCCCTGAAATTCTCCCTTTAAATCAGCCAAAAATTTGCTGGTAGATCCTCAGCCTGTGTTATTTTAAAGGGACAAAATACCACTCAGAAATCCTGAACCAAGTTAGTAGATACATTGCCACTGACTTCAAGGGAAACTGGACTGAGTCCAACTTTCATAACCTCATGAATGAACAGGAAGAAAATTACAGTTTCTTTACTTGCATGGAGTGTTTTGAATATTAAAACAAAAACAAAAAAAAAAAAGCTGTTTATCTAGTTGTTGTTACTTCGGAAACAGGGAAAAAAAAAAACCAACAAGTTCTTCTGCTTTTAAGTTAGTAAAGTGTTTTGAATATTAAAACAAACAAAAAAAAAAAGCTGTTTATCTAGTTGTTGTTACTTCGGAAACAGGGAAAAAAAAACCAACAAGTTCTTCTGCTTTTAAGTTAGTAAATGCATATTTCCAGGAAAATGTTTAAAAATTACTACAGAAAAAAAGTATTCCAAAATGGTACTTTATACATAATGTCTCCTTAGGTAGGTCCATAATTCACCTTCTCTTGTTGGAATAGCTGCATTGTATAGAATCATAAAAACGTAGTAGCAGAAGATTAATTCACTGAAAATCAGCAGAATTCATTTTTTAAATACTTCAAAATCAAATATTAGCAGATTAATGATAGTGTTAGGGCCCAGCAGGGTCTTTTCATCTGTTGATGTTATTACATGTGACAGTCAGAGAGAGACAGAGATGCAAAGAGGAATGCACTGTGAATGCAAAGAACAGACCGGACAGCAGAGCGGCGTGGGCAAGCCTGAGGCTGCTGGAACAGCCATTTGTTTGGGATCAGCCCTCTCTTAATAACGGTGCTCCTACTGCTCCTAACTCCTGTGACTGGCTGCTGAAGGAAGTCAGGGGCAGAACCTGGGGAAATACTTGGCACATCCAGCTGTGATTGTCTCACAGGGGCGTAGCAGAACAGCTGGAGCAGGGGGGACCTGGGACGTGACTGATGTCAGGCTCAGGCACAGAGCGACAAGGCCAGTTTTCTGGCAGCTCACGTTGTCGTCCTGGGACCTCTGAACAAACACACATCAGGCACCACCTGGCACTGGTGCATGACCAGCAAACACTGCCCTGGCGTCTTGGGCACCTGCTTTGAACCAGCATCAGCAGAGAGCAGCATCTCCAATGCTGGGTGCCTTGCAGACATTCCTAAAGGTCACATTGCCGAGCACAGCAGTCACAGAGCGCCCTAAAGGTGTCTTACATTTCAGAGGAGTTACCCCTTGAGTAACATCAGTTTCTTTTTTAATTGAATAAAGGCTCTTAAATGACACGGATGTTTGAAAATATTACCCTAATTCCAGAAACACATTGTATTTCCTAAATGGATTTTTTTTAGCTTGCTTTAGCACAAATCTGCCCCAAACATGTGTGTCTTGGTAAATGAACAGCTTCCTAATTACAGGAAAGAGTAATGTGGTATTTCCAAGGCATTCCAACTTTTGGTGAACCACAGCAGGAAAGAAAAAAATTAAATTTGTTACATAATTTAAAAAAGAAAACATAAACATACTCTACACTTAAATATAAATATCTTCTGATTTGTACATCATTTTGTGTCATTTCTCTAGAATTCTGAGAAGCAGCATTATAATAAATATAATGGAGTGTAGAGAGAGACTCAGGAAGTGCTAATAAAAAGACTATAAATTCTCTGCATAAGCAGGTCAAGCAATTTGCAAAAGCCCAGCCCAGAGCAGGCACAAACACAAAAGAAAACCTACCACACTCTCAAGTAGACTAAACAGGATTTTCTCTGCAGTGAGAGGTGAAATCTCCCTGATGAAAGTGTCTGGTACCATGATGTTCCTGTTACACGTGTAACTGCGCTATTGCCCATGCTGATGGGAAAAAATGAGGCAAAATGTGGTTGGACAGCCAGTCTTTATACATGAATTGAGTGCTTCCTGGGTCTGTGCTACTGCAATAATTATGAGTTATCTTTACAAGGGCAAAGCATCCATTGCCAAGTTCTGCGACTTGCTGATGGCAACAGTGAAATCACAGCAGCCACAGCAAGGAGACAGCAGAGACACCTGGTTCTTGTAGGGTCTCCTTCACTGAAGTATACCCCATTCACTGACTCATTTTTAGGTCAAGGGCATGTAGTGGGAAGAGTCCAGGACTGCAGGGTTAGTTTGAAGACTAAAGAACACTTTGCAGCTATACTTGCTGTCCAAGTATATAGGGAAAGATTCCTCGATCCCCTGTCACACACCACCCCTGTGCCACTTCACACGTGGGTACAAGTAATCAGTTGTCAACCTGGCACATTCAGGGTTGTATAAATTCCTCACAAAAATTATGGTTAGCTGGGTTCTGAATGCCTCAAACTGTACTGGAGGACATTTCACACTGGCACAGAAATCAGGTGTGAAAATTGCACCTACATCACCCTGACACACAGGTTTAGAGAAACAGAGAATCTCCTGAACACATAAGATAAAATAAAGCATCAGTTCTGTAGCTTCACAAGATTGGCATGACTTAACTTCAAAGAAATAGGCTAAAACAAAGTCGCTTTCTAGTTTTGAAGGAGAATGTATTCCTGTTTTCCAGCTTTTACCTGCCTGAAGTCTTAAGCCTGCCTGGCTGTCTCTGAAAGTGGGTGGCTGGGCTGAGAGTGAGGGGAGGAGAAAAACATCAGATGCCAAGGACAAAAATGAATAGCCATTACTAAGTTTTATACATAACTCCTTGGCTGCTTGCAGTTCTACCCTGACTCTGTGTGATTCTGTTTAGTTAGTGCTGTGTCTGAAAGCAAGCATTTGCAGGACCAACTCCTCCAAATCTGAGACACAAAGAGAAGAAGAAAATTGCTAGGGGATCAATTGCTAGAAAAGTATCCAGCCCAGTAGGGACAGGCACCATTGAAAGAGGAAAACTACATTTATCAGTGTAGGTGCTCCAGTGATTGCTTAAAAAGACAGTTGTGACTCCCTGCTGTCTTGTGTTCTTTTTAGTCCCCTACTGGTTTCCTTCCTTCTGAAAATATAAGAAGTATTCTTGGTAAAATGGCACTTAAAGATCAGAAGTGTAGTGTGAAACATCATAACATCGACAGGTTCTTTGTCCACTTCAGTGGAGATTTCCCAGTCCTGCTGAAGTCAGTGAGCAGTTGTGATAGCACTGTCTGTCCTGAGCAGTGAGAAACCTGGTTTCCAGCCTAGCCCTCCTCACTTGCTCAGAGGTGTCTGTGGGCTCTAAACCTTAGGTCTCATTGCTGTGTGGGGAAAGCCCCACTTTTCTAGTGAGAGTGCTGGCTTGTGCTCTCACAGCTGAAGAAGCTACGGCTGGTGGGTTGTTAGTGCTGCTCTGCAGGAGGTGCCTGCTCCGTCTGCAGGATCAGCAGAGAGGAACGCGGGATGCCCCCTTGAGATTAGTGCAGTCCAAAGTTTAATGATTTAAATCAAGGCACCTATCCTCAGTTGGCCTTTGAGGTCCAAAATGTCCCCTGCAGAGAATTATTCCTGCCTCAGCTAGTCCTAGCTGAGCAAAAACTGGATCCCAGCAGGGGCACAGAGTACTTACTAAAAAAGGTGATGAGTTGTGTTTGCTCTCACCTGTTATGTGCTGGCATGATTGGAGTAAAGAGCATTTCAGCCATCAGTGAAGCAGTGGAGACAGATCCTAACTGATTGAGAAGCTGAATACTTGGAAGCCTGAGATTTTAGTTACTTTTGGTAAAGGTCAATACAAAGACAATGCATGACAGCCTGGTCCTAAGCTGAAGAAGAGTTAGTGTACTCAAATGTGATTGAGCTCTTGAGGGAGAAGAGTTGAGGCATGCCCTGGTAAGAACTTGAAGCACGTGATCTTTTGGCTTAATGTTGAAAGTTAATTGACCTAGGATGAGCTTTTATGCTCCAGTGTGATACTTTGAAGGCTCATGATGGAACACACCCTCCTTAACTCTGCATGCCACGGGAAGTTGCATGATTTGCATGGCACCTCTATTCCAAAGGGTTTTTTCTATTATCTCCAAAAAGTAGCTGCAATAAATTATTCTGCAGATGGAAAAAAACTGCATGTGTTTCTTTTCCAACCACTGACCTTGCAGAATCCGGCCATATCGTAGCTGAGCCCCCTGAGGCCACCAGGCCTGTGGGCAGGGAGATAACATTTTTTGAAGAGCTGGCTTGCTGCCCAGCCCTTCTAGAAAGTGACACACATGAAGAGGTGCCAACACAGGGAAAGGAAGGAAGCTGTAGATGTTTTATGAAGCGTGTGAAGAAGCGCAGTAGCTACGGGTCAGGGACGTTCACCAGCCCCAGAGGGACATACTGTGCATCAGAGAGGTCCTGAAACATTCATACACTTACTGATGGAAAGGCTTATTTTGTTGCAAATGGTGCATGCCTGATAAGTCCACAGTCTGAGATCATTGTAAATCTTTTACAGCCCGGAATGAGCAAGAGGAGCAGGAGGAAAAACGAGAGATTAAGAGAAGATTGACACGTAAGGTGAGAAGCAACTTTGATCCTATTATGACACTACTGTAACTTTCTCCCTACTGCACAGTTGTTTGTCTTTTTCCTTTTCTTCAGCACCTTTTTGAAAATAGAGTGTGAAACAAGTCTTACCAAAAACTCTTTAAAAGAAATCAGCAATGCTGCAGGGTGTAAGTCCACAGAGAGCAAAGGAAACCACTTTGCAGGCTACTGCTGGTAACATTTCAAACAGGAAAAAAGATCTAGTCTTCATAACTGAAGGAGTTTTGAACAGTGAAGGATAAAGATCAGCATTTACAAGGACCAGTGCTTCTTGTAAATGTAATGGGTTCTGTAGCCATTACAGAGAGCAAAGTTAAAGCAATGCTGATTTGAAAATTCCACCAAAAAAAAGACCCTTATAAAACTGGAAGCTAAACATTTTCTGGAAAGGGAGGTTGTCAATTGAGGCATTTAAGCTAAATAGAGACAAGCATTTTTGAAAAAGCATATAGTGCAGAAAACAATCTTGTATTGGCAGGGAAGGACAAACAAAACAGCATTGCTTGATTCAAAAGTCATTTACTCTGAAAACTGAAGAACAGTCATTTCAGTTGTACCCATTCAGTTTTGCAGCTGGCATAAATGTCTACAGATGCCCAAACATATACAGTGAACAATCCATCCTGCTATTGCAGATCAACTTTCTTTCAGCACTGACATATTTTCTATCTCCAAGGGTAAAGAAAGCCCTCTAAAAACTCACATACTTGTGAAGCAGCACCATTCCCCTTCTGTACAATTTTAGATGGCTTAGTTTTTTTGACCTATGTGATCACAGCTTCCATGGTATAAATAATAACAAGGAAGAGTCTCTAAGTATATGTGGAAAGGTTACACTCTGAGAACTGAATTGCTTTCTACCACACTTTAAAATCTCATGCCTTATTCTCAGTTCATGTAAATAGGTAGAATTCTTGGTCACCAGTGTGGAGATAGTGCTGTTGTCTGCAGGAGCTAGAGAGCCATAATATTGTTTGTAAAACACTTCTATTCCTCACCACAATGACAGGGATGATTTTGCATTCCCTCTTAGCACTGCCTGAAAGAAAAGATCCTAACTGCATTGCAGATGTTTCATGGGATTGAGGCTCTGCGCAAAGGCTGGAAATACCATTTTGCCAGGCTTTCAGTTTCCCTGTACACTGAAGGGTAAACACGTGCAGGAATCCAGAGCAGAGCTTGATGCCATTTGAGGAGCAGCTGTAATAGATACAGAGCAAAGCTCCCCATGCCCAGTGTGCCGCCTAAGAAGTGAGGGCTTACTGATTGAGCCGGTGCCATCACCACACGGTTCCCATCCTTGCCATCCTTTTCCTGTAGGAAAGGTGCAGAGCACAGGAATCATCTGTCACAGGCAGAGGCCACAGCTCAGCTAAAGCACCCAGGCTGCCACTGCTTCACATCAGTGTCTGCTCCCCAAAACCTTGGCAGTTTTCTGGGAGATTTCTTGCTGTGTCTTGTTTGCACTTTTACGTAGGAACAACAGGGAAAGCTGCATCAGTCCAGGGCCCTGGCATTTGGCTCTTTAATGCTCACAACCCTGTTCCTGGTCACATACCTTTTAGTCTTTTTTTCTGGTTTCCTCTCCAGTGAAGATTTTTCTCCCCCACATTTCTGAGGTGGATACCAACATGACCTAACATTGTTTGATTTGGATCATCTTTTTAAATTGTTGTAAATTGTTCTAGTGACACGTGTAATTTTAATGAAAGAATTGCAGGGCTGATCTAACAACAGGTTTTGTTCTCACCTACCAAATATACCATCATAAAAGCTCAGAAACCACTGGAGAAAAGAAGTGAATAATGTGTGAGAGTGTTTTAGATAACAACTAGAAATGCCAACCACTGAGTGAATCCTGCAAAAATACTTGTTATTCCCCAGCTGTGTCTTTCATGAGCCTGTCCCAGATGTGTCGTTGTGTTTTCGGCAGAGTGGCAAGCTCCTTCTGCCGGTTTGTACTGAAGTCTTAGTACCAAAGGATTTTAAACCCCAGATCAAGCAGAAGTTAAACTGAGCACAGCAAGTGTGTTGCCCAGCAGCCCTTTCTGTTTGCACTGAGTTTTCAAGCACAGGTATGCTTGCAGGGTAAATTCAACATGTTACAGAGTTTCCTACTCTGCCATGTTACCTCTTTTGGAAACGTGTGTAGTTGGGATAAAAGAAGGGAAGTGGGTTCTGTAGAAGCCACTGATGAGACTTTTGACCTTGCAGTACAGAAACTGCTACTGTCCCCAGTTTTTTTAGTAGCAACATTCCAATTCCAAGGGAAGGACCCACTCCATCCATAAAAAAGCTGTTCTTAAAATTCCGTCAGCACTGACATTTTGTTACAGTGTTATGATGATAAGTTGTAACATGACATGCTGTAATAAGTAAGATTACCTTGCTAGGTCTAGATGCCTTATTAAAGTCAGCAATAAATATCCAGTTGAATTCATCATCTGGACAGGCAATTTCTAAAAAAACAACATTATAAAGAAATCAGGTGACCTATAACGAGCTGTCCCTTTTAGCATTTTCCATCCTCTCCGACTCATCTAGTTCCACATTAACTGGGGTGAGGAATAGCTACCATTCAAATAACAAAATGAAGGACATGCTGTTGCCTAAGTGTCTCAGCAGCTCGTGTCCCTGCTGCCCACAGAAGAAGAGTGGAAGCATGTTTGCCTGTCACCTGAGATGTCCAGCCCCCCGTCCTCTCTCTCCCTGCCCCTCAGGCCCACCGAGCGCCTTTGGGCACGCGGACTTGCGTCACTTGAGTGGAGGGACGTGTGGATTAGGAAGGTTTTTTCTCTGAGCACTGGTCTTGACCTCCAGCCTATTCAAAGACTATTAATGTGCAGAAGCCCTCTGGAAGTGTTGCAGATGGGTCACGTCCACAGGGAGATGTGGGCCCCCACGAATTACTACTAAGAACATATCTTCTCTGAACCATGACAAACTTGGCCAAGAACCAAGGCAATTAACACAAGCCTGATGTCCCCTGAGGACTTCCATTACAGAGGGAGAATTGTAGCCTGGATTAACAGAACATGTTACAAATCACTTGCAAAGTGGAATAGAACTCTTCTTTTCCTACCTTCTCTTCTCTTAAATGGCACCATCCTTCCCAATCCCCAGAGCTGTTTACTGCTTCCTATCCCCCCCTCTGCCAATAGCTTAGTTTTCTCAGAGGTCTAGCTTCAAAAGGAAATCTCTTCAGAGCTGTAATACGGACTATCAAATTGAAGAGGTGTGGCTGTTTCTTAAAATCCGTGCCATAATCTGAAATCTTTGCTCCTGTTAAATTCTTGCCCCAGTCCAATTTAAATGCTCTGTTCACTGGTGCCTCTCTGGGAAATATCTCCCCTGCTTGAAGATGTTCAAGCTTTTCTTTAACTGACCTTCACTGGCTTGCATCAGCAAAGGCTGTTGAAAATAATGAACTCTTGAGAGAGGTGGGACTCATCAGAGAGAGGTGAGAGAGAGGCAGCAGGGAGGAGAAAGGTCAGAGAAGAAGAAAAGGTTACCAGCTAATTTGGATAAACTGCATTTATAGTCAGAAGGAAAGGTCTTCAGGGCATTTCCATCACATCCTGCTCCTAAGTCTTTACTGCAGAAGGTGGGGAGTAAAGGAGGGGGAGGGGTGCTGCTGCTTAGGGTTTGTAATTTTTCAGCTTGTTTTCTTCTTTAAATTACAACTGTAATATTTTAATGAGGAAACAGAGCAGGCAATGATGACATGCTAAGATAAGCTTTTTTGTGACTGAAGTGGGGCAAACTCAGCATTTTGCATTTGACTGAATCCCAAGACCAGACTGGAAACAGTAAGTCCCTCTCCACTTTACCTGGTAGGAGTGCTTGGGTTTGCTTTGTTTCACATGCCACGGACCAAGGGGGGTGTGTTAAACCTTCCTTTTCAAATTGCCTTAGTATCAAAGCCTAGGAAATGCCCATTTGTATCCACAGCGCTCCAGAATATACAGAAGAGAATTTGACCTCCTGCAACAAGGCTTGAGAGGTCCTGTCCTCATTTACTGCTCCTGCATTAATACAAATCCATTTATTTTGAAAGGGAATTTTACCCTGGTTCACACTCATATAATTAGTCACTCACCATAGAATTACCCTGCTCCCTCAGCTCCCAGATCGTCACAAATAGGTAAACAGAAATGTAAATGCCCAGGTAGTACACACAGAAAAAATCCAGACACACTCATGCACATACATCCCTTCAACATTACCTGAAGCAAATTTAAAAGGATCAGTAAGAACCCTTTCTCCCTGACTGGAGCACTACACCTTGTGCAGACAATTGCATGGTGCCCTTGGCCATGTCCTTGTCCTGTAATTTTTCAATGTGCCCTAGTCGTTCTGACTGTTAGAAGAGCTTGTTCTCAGGTGCTGCTTGATAAGGACTCTGTAGCATTAAGCAGTTTAGACCCAAGAGACCACAGCTCACAGGTCATAAAAATAAACTGCAAGGTGAGATCTCAGAGGAGCTGTGCCCTGAGTGTGGACACACATGGACCTGATACCTGCAGTGGGGCTGCTTACAGTCTGTCCTGCAAAGCTGGTTCCCCAGCTATTCAAGAGTTAAGGGAGCTCTGGGCAGTCCAAACATGCTGCAAGACTCTCACACCTAGAAGGTCACAAGAAATCTCTGCAATGCTATGAGAAGAAGGCAGAGAAAGTTGTTAACCATTCAAATAATGTAGCCCTTAATTAATGGCTTTTAGAAAATGACTTAGCATGGTTTTCTCTCTCCTTACACTTAGCGTGATCAGATTGGCACTTTGGTTTAATATACTGAATATATTTTGTGTGCATGTATTTATATATGGAAATATATGTAGATTTATGGCTACACATGAACTATGGATTTCAGGGCTCTTTCACAGCAGAAGCACTGGCACAAGAGTCAGTGCATCTTTTTTCCATCCTCATTCGTGTTCTCTTGAGCATCTCACAGGCAGGACATTAGTGCTGCTCTGCAGACTCTCCACATGAGGTGTTCGAACCCGATTTGTGTGTGCATGCTCAGGGATGCTGGTGTAAGGAGAGCAGCCCCACTGCTGCCTCCCATCACAATCATCTTTTCTAAACAGAGAAGAGGAAGACAACCGACCATACCAAGAGCAAGCACACAGGCTTACAGCCAGATCCAGAATAGGGCAGTGGAGCTCCACCCAAGTGCTGAAGAAAGAAGGGATTTTTCACCCTTCACTTTGTAACCTGCTTGTTTTAAAGCTTAATTCTCCCTGGAAGATGAAATGCAGGAAACTGAGATACTTCATTTGGAAGAAAGGTGGATTCAGGGGCATAAATAATGTTGCAGAATAGAATCTCTAGCATTTTATTAAATATTTAGAGCCTTCACCCTTCACAAGGGTAAAGTATTTTAAACACATCTATTTCTAGTGAGTGGGAACAGCATGATACACTGTAGGCAATTGTTATCAGGATATTATTTTTCCTGATGTATCCTGGTTACAAATGTTCCGCTCTAACAGTGAAACTTTTCAGCTCATCTACAGCACATGCACACATTTATGTAGCACCTTCAGAAACGATTGTGTAATTGCTTTTGACATTCACCAGTATGCTGTGCATCCAAGGAGAATTGATCCCTGAAAGCCAACTGCTGTCCCTGCCCATGTAACTGGCTGTGCGACACGTGCTCATCAGGACACCAATTTAAGAGGAGTTTTTCACTGTGGCTGCCTATTCTGCTGTGGAATTTGAAAGAAATGCTTGAAACAATGAAGATGCTTTCATGACATGATACAATCCACCACTGCCATTTCTTTCGGCTTGTAGTATGCAACATAAGATTTTAATAATCAAATATGCTGTGATACAAACCACAGCTCTCAATAGATACAGTTAGAAGTTCAATGAGCACTAATCATCCTGCCTGCCTTTTCTGGAGGTAAGGACAGGTCTGCAGAATATCAGAATGGTAAAGAAAGTTGGTTTTCACCTTTTGCATGTAATTCAGGGCAGAAACCACTCCATGCCTTGGCCTGACTCTTCCCAGGCAGTGCAAAAGTACAGACAACAGCAGCAGAAGGCTGGAAAGTGCACAGCCTGTGCAGGTCATTTTAGAGTAGCGTTGTGATCTTTGTCTCTTTCTGGGACATCAGTGCACTAGGAGACTTTCTTGCCTTACATCTCATTTCTGCCAAGGGTGATCAACCCCTGGAACTGGGGTCTCCAGCCACAGCAGCTTCCCAAAGAACAGTGGACTGCTCTGGCAGCAAGTGAGATGATATTCAAGGTCTTATAACAAGAGGGCATTTCCCAGGTAGCAATTCTTTGAAAGGCAGACAAAAACAAAGCACTGGGAATGTCCAAACCCTGTTATTACTGTAACGGCGGTTGCAGTAAAATAAATCCCCAAGCAGCACTCCGCAGGGAAAAAGCAAAGTCCTGATGTCTTTTTCCATTCCTTCCTCAAACCTGCAGCTGAGTCAAAGGCCCACAGTAGAAGAGCTACGTGAGAGGAAGATCCTCATCCGCTTCAGTGACTACGTGGAAGTGGCAGATGCGCAGGACTACGACAGGAGAGCGGACAAACCCTGGACACGACTCACAGCTGCCGACAAAGTAAGTGGAGAAACTCTGGGAGAGCCATGGCCTAAACAGCCAGAGCATGGCATGGCAAACAGCATCCCTTGGGTCCCACAGATCCCATGGCTGTCAAGGAATAAACATCTACCTGACATCCCTTTCCAATACACCTATGTTTTTTTTTTCCCCATTCACGAGGTTTGTTTGTTTGTTTGTTTATTTGTAGCATAAATCTTTGGCAAGAAGGTTTCTGTATGCATGGAAACCAGGAGGGATGGAATCCCAAGCCCCTTGAGGAAAGGTCTTGATGACAGCCCTGTTATTTGTTTGTCAGTTTTGGTCTTACCACATTATGCTGCCAGCTGAGAGCTCTGGCAAGACTTAGCAGAGCAGTGAAACAGGAGTGTGTGCCAGAATGGCTGTGCCAGGACAGGGAAGGCTTGGGTGTGAAAATGCCAGCAGGTCAATTTGGCAAAGGTACCTCCATCCCTCCAAAACCAGAGTCACTTCTCTCTAGTGTGTTACAACAGGGATATTTGCTCAGGATTTCTGCCACAGAGTATTTTAAGCACTGAACTGAAATCACACAAGACCTGCAGATGAAAAAAGACACACTTTGGTATTGATGGCACTGCCCTTTGAGCACTGGTGGAACTTCCACTAAATAGTGTCTCTGGTTTTGACATTGATGGCAGAGGGATTAAGTTGCTGGCAAATTATATCAGTCACATTCTGAGGGTCTTAATGGGACCTCAGAAAAGATATTTAAAAGATTTTATGAACATTGTAAGAAGTGAGGACTGTGAGGCTCAGTGATTCAGTCATGAATCTTATAGTCACTCTATGATCCCCTTTTAAAGACTTTCAGATACCTGGATTCAAGCCTTGACTACTTCTTTGCCATGGAACTCACTTATTCAGCGTGATGTCCAATGTTTAGAGCTTTAGCAGAGTTTCCAGCCACACCACTCATCTATGGTGCTTTTGGTTTTATTCACAAAAAATATGTATTATACTTGTAAAATTCAACCAAAGGACTTGTATAGTTTTGTGACATTGTTCTCCTCCTTGTAGAGGGATTTTTTTCAGTTTAGCTTTGGTGAAGTTAATGTAGCATAAACTGATCTGAAAAAAAAAAATATAAACTTCCTCAGGACTGTCCATAGTCCATAATGTAGTGGGTTAAATTAGCTTTTCTCCTTTAGCTAAGCATGTTTGACAATATATTAGTCAACTGACTTAGCTTTATTCTCTTAATTATTAAATGAGGGAGGGAATAAATCTCCCAACTGGTTCTACAGCCTTTGAGAGATCCCTGTCTGGGATGAAAGGCATGGAGAAACTTCAGCTGGGCATAGAGATTTGATCTCTCATCCCATGTCTCTGAAAAGAACAAGCATTAAATACCACTAGTAAATGTAACCTAGTAAAGAGTTTAGTATTGAGGCAGAGTATTTGTCACTTTTTCTTTTTTTATAATGCATGTGCAAGTTCAGTAGTCAGAGAAAAGGGTTAAGCCTTTCAAATTAACATTTACTCAGCAAAGCACCATCAGAAGAAGAGGTGTTTGTCATTCTAATATTAATGCCTTTTAGGGCACAAGGAAGCAGATAGATTGGATTTTTTTGGGTCCTGTGGGCAGTATTCTGATTCTGACCTGCTTTTCCTCAACACTATGTCCAGTTTTGGAAAAAACAGCCAGAGAAATTGAAACAAAGCCACATCATCCCAGATAGGATTATTTTCTTCCAGAGCTGTTATTCAGTAGCTGTCTTCATTGGTCAGCACTGACTAGATTTACTGCAAAAACAGATTTTAGCAATGGGCTTTTCTGTTTGCCAGTAAATCTTGCTCAGTGTGCTGGGTGGAGGGAACTGCCTTCAGTCAGAATTTGTCTTTAGCAGGTCTGACTCTCAGGGAAGGAAAAGGGCATTTTTGCATCTCTCCAACAGATGAGGGATGGAGGGGGGAATAGATCTCAGTCCCTGTGGGAGTCAACCACCCCTGTGGCCTCCTTCACAGTCACTTCAGTGGCAGATTGCTCTGCTGAAGGCAGCCCAGGAGCTGCTGCATAGCCATCACTCTGTCCTGATGGATGAGGCAGCGCCTGACAGGCACTTCTAAGGGAAATAAGAAACCAAAGCTGTGGAGAAGGAGCAAAAGGGCCTTTTCTGTACAAAAACACTTGCAAAATCCATCACTTAGGTTTTGTCAAAGCAAAGGTAGTTGCTGACTGCAGCAGTGGCTGTTGCAAAGGTCCTGTTTTTGGCTCGTGCTACTCATAATGGTGTAGATTTCCTTCACTGAGAAAAATTCCTGACAGACACCAGTACCACTTACTGGAGCACCCCCTTTCCACCTCTGATACTAATGTTTTCAGCATCACACAGAAAGGCAGTGCACACACCTCGGACCTATGGGAGCGTTTGGCTGCAGCAGACACCTCGTACATCCACTCCAAATGCTCACAGTGAAACCACTTCTGAACAACAAATATCACAGAGCTGTCAGAGCTCTTGACCCTGAGCTTGGGACTTGAGCCATTTCTGCTGAGCACAATCTCTACCATGCAGCTGAGTCCCTCCAAGTCACCCCCTCTGGTTTTTTATTCTTCAGTATTTCTCTTCCTGCCAGTGCCCCCTGGTTTTCTTTCCCCTTACAGACAAGCCACAGAGGCTGAACACCACCACGCCATGCCAGGTTTCCTGCTGGGTTAATTTGTCAAATCACTTCAATAAACAGCACAGCTTGGTCAGAAGGGAGGAGCAGGGCAGAGCGGCACACCCGAGGCAGAGTAGAGGGCAGGGAGCCTCTTTCCTTCCCAAGTAAGATCAGTCACTTTAGGTAACCACACCTGAGGAAATTCAGGACCAATAAGGGCAGAAGACATCTCAAACACAAGTCTGTCAGGATCTGGGCTGGGTCTAGTCACAGTCCACCTCTGGAACAGATCACAGTGTTGCACAAACTGCAGTGAATTTTTTTTTTTCTCATGCTTGTGCTAATTTGGATTTTGTACATGTAAATGTTTACATAATAAGCCAGAAGTGGGTTCTGTACCTGCATTGTCTGTGATATGTTTTCAAATTGAGCCATTCCACCAAAGCATTTCTCTCTTCCCTTTATGTGATTTAGAACATGCTTATCTCTGTTCCTTTTCACATTTTAAAGTCTTTGTGTTTGTCTTTGTCTCTCTGATAATGTTATCTCTCTGCTTTACTTTTAATATACTGTTTTGAGAACAAAGTGACCTTATTTTGATCTCTCTCATTTATACATTTATGAGTTTCTTTGTCCTTTGCAGGCAGCCATTCGAAAAGAGCTTAATGAATTTAAAAGCTCTGAAATGGAAGTTCATGAATTAAGTAGGCATCTAACAAGGTAAGCTGAGAGATTAATTTTTTAAGACTATAAATGAATATTGTTGTTTTCAAAAGAAAATCAAAGCTGGCAGCTGTTTCTCCAACATGCAGTGAACACACCATGAGGTCTAGACAACATTTAGAATTACAGGCTGTAAAAGCAACTCACACAGACAAACACGTGCTCCCCCATTATGTGGAGTTATGCAGGCACGTGCCATTTAATGAAGTATAACTTGGGGGTTTTTTTTAAATCATCGTGCGGCATATCCGTTCTTCTGAGATTAAAAATTTTAAAAAAGAGTTGGTGTCAGAAGGAGGACAGGGAACCCTCGTAGAGCATGTAGCACAGTCTGAGTGAGTGTACACTGAGCCCTGCTGTGTGTGCAGCTGTTCCACACCACGCAGATCCCACCCACAGATCTCTCTTCTTGTGCTGCACACCTGGCCACGCATGATGCATGGCAAGATCCAGGCTGTAAGAGAGGCACTATTATTTACACCTTGGGCTTCTTTTTAGTTTTAAAAGTAGAGACTGAATGAATTATCCATGAACCCAAACCAGCCACTGTCCTCTCTGATGGGCTAGGGCTGAAGTCAGGTCTTTGTGAATCAACACTTCAGACTTTAAAAACAAGTGTTGGGTACTGAAGACAAGTGACAGTGAGATCTGGTGCGAAACTGGAGCTGCCCTTGTATTAATGTGTTCATCAGTTCCACGCTCATGAAAAATGCAGGCGGTACTTTTAGGAAAAATACAGAAAAGCTTAAGGCAAAATAAATTTTGTATTAGAAGATTTTTATGTGTATAAATTAATAATTATATTAAAATTCGCCGCATGTATTATGCATATATTACCTTGCAGAAACGATCTCCCTTCTCCATCCTAGCATGTGCTAGGCTGGTTGCACTGGGGTTTGTAGTGATGGAGTGCTTCTAGAGACAAGCCAGCTGCTCCTGAGCCATAAGTCTGGGAGAAGGCTTAGGATGTACAGTTGACCTAGATCTGTTGACCCCAGTGACTGAGCCTTTGAGGGACATTTGGCTCCTCCAGGGCAAGGTGACAAATGTAGAAGGGACAAGGCTGTTTTAAAGGGGGTGTTACTGCAAGTAGTCAAGCTCCATTGAGAGCTCCTTTGAATTCTATGAGGCCTTTAGCATCCCACAACACACAGACTGGTTTAGTTTTCCAGAAGTCTGTCTGGCTGCTTGGCTTTCACAGGTTTCTGCACAGTATTATCCTTCTCTTCCAGTGTTGGAGTAAGCAGTGACCCTTTAAAAATTGTATCCGAAAACCACTGAGCAGTTTGGACTCAGTAATTCTGGGCCAGGCTGAGAGCCACAGCTCATGTAACAGACACTGGAATAAGCTTTGCTGAAGAACAGCAGGATTTGCTGGTTCCACAAGTGGCTTTGGGAAAACGCACTTGGAGGAAGCATGCTTAAACAAAAGAGAGTATTTCCCTTAAATAAACTTAGATAAATCACCATTCTAAAGTCATTAGCAAGGTAATGAGCTTTTCATGTCATTAAGCAGTGGTAAGAGCAAAGAATGTGAGTGTCACTTTACTAGTGGGACACATTAATTAATTCATAATAGAGTGAAAAATCAAAGCTTAAAAAATGTGTATTTGCAGATCTGACAAACCAAGGCCTTCTGACACAAGATGCCTTGAAGGAAGAGTGGCCATTTTAGCTCCATTTGTCTCTTTAGCCTCCAAGATTAAGGAATAATCATGGTTAAACTGTATGTAAATCTTTCTGACAGAATAGTATAAGGTTTGTCTAAACCGCACAATTTTTGTGGAGTCAGGCCTTGTATGGCCTGGAAGAGGGTGAGCTGATCTGCTATTGTCCACTCAGGGATCCCATAGGGTGGACCCAAAGTGTATGAAGGTTTCTGGTAGATTCTGGTGCAAACAGCTTATGACTATGAACTGTGAGTCTGGCAAGGGCCAAGGAAGTGTGAGTGTCTGTCTGTTTGGGGTCCTCTTGCTAGCATGGCTGATGTCAATGCTGCAGGACTTGAACTGCCTAATGGTGTCACTGTAACAATTAGTTCTCCTAATTTTTTTTATGTGCAATATACATGTGAGGATATTATCTTACTGTTTCTCTTTTTTTTTTTTTCCCCTTGGGTATTAGGTTTCATAGACCGTAGCAGATCAATTCTACCTGACTACTATGCCATCTTCAAAACATAACTAAAAGGAACCATAAGTGCTGGTATTATTCACTTCCCTGTTACGTACAATGTAAATCTTCCGAACTGCCTTTTTAAAAAAAAAATTAAAAAAAAAAAAAAAAAAAAAAAAAAAAAAAAAAAAATATTAAAAAAAAAAAAAAAGGAGAATTGTATTTACATGTGATGAGTACTGCAGCATCATCAGACCTGCTGGTTCAAGCTTCAGTAACAGAAAATACCCCTGGTGGGAAATCGTGCCAAGACTTGGCGTCTGTGTATAGGACTTTCCCGGCATGTGGATTTGCCATATGTGTTCAAGCCCAGCTGGTGGTGCAACCATTGTTGTCTTCAGGCACCCCTCATCCTGACAAGCCTCTGTCATCAACCCTAGAGAGCCCTGAGACGATGTTCAGGGAATCACTTGGCCTGGGTGAAGTCTCCAAAAGATGAGTCCCTATGGCACTAAAGCACTTACACCAAACACCCCTTTCAAGCTGAGAGCACCTTATGAGGATGGTGAAGGAGCGAAACTCTCCATGGGCTGGCCCATCTGTGAATATCATCTGACTAGAGAGGCATTTCTTTCCCTGGAGAAGTTCACAGCCAGTCAGTAGACATAATTCAGCTTCCAAGCAGAAAAATCCTCTGAAGAACAGGACTCCCTACTGAAGGCTGCTTCACTTCTAGCAACTGTTTGTTTTCCGTCTCTTTCAAGTACAATTTTCTAAACCCGGCTGAGAGCCCATTAGCAGTAAGTGACAAGAACGCTGAGAACCCACAAGCAAAAGCCCATCTCTTCATGGTCACTGCATGGCATCTGCTCCGCTTGTAGTTTGTCCTACACCCAAACCTTGTGACTGTGTGAGAGCCAACGTGCCCCTGGCAGCAGGAAAGGCTGGGATTCCCCTCCGGCTCTGCAGAGGGACACGCAACAGGAAGGGCGGGAGGTTCCATGGAGGATATCTATTGTCTCTCTACCAGGTGTCTCAAGAAGTGATCCTAAACTCACACTGAGCAAAGCACGACAAGGTGTGTTACCTGGCCTACCAAAAGGAGTCTGGGGCATTCTTATGGATGGTGGGACTTGTCACTGCTACCCACAGCTGAGGCATAAGGACAGCAATTCAGATGTGTTCTGAATTTACTGGTTCTAACTTATTTTTATTATAGTGGTTTAACACACAAACTGACCAAGCAGAGCTCAGAGAGCTGGTCACTCTGGGCCTGGTTTACTTGCCAACTTAAGTGTGTGCTCTACAGCAAGGAAGCACACACAGCCTCACTGCTTTCAAGAATATGTCTAAGAGGCTTAATTGAACCTGAACACAATTAAGTGCTTTTCTGAACTTAGGCCATCACCTTCCAGAATTAAGTCCTTAACTAGTATAATGCCAGCAAGCTGGGGCAGACATTGTCAGGATTCCTTTCAAGTTCTTACAGGATACTACTATGCCATGTTTTGGGACAGTGGCTGAAAGCACTGCAGCAACATGACTGTAAGAAGTTCCAGATAATTATTCGAGGACACCTTTTCTTCCACAATAGCTATTTTCCTTTGACAGTTTAAACAGAGAGGCCAAAGTTTTTTTACTACAGAATAGTTATTTCTGTTATTCTTTTACTAATCTTTCCTTTCTCACTGTCTTCCATGTATCTATCCTCTCTTCTGTGCTCTCTGTCCAGCTCCCCCTGTTCCATGCTTACATTGCCCTTCACTGATTGCAGGCTGAGACGCCTCTCACACTTGAGCATTTAATGCTCAAGTGCAGTGCAACGTAGTGCCAACACTCCTGCCTCTTCTCAGGCCTCACCTCACTCCTCTGGATGCAGGAGTATGGCCAAAGGACCTGCACATAGCCCATTGAGTGGCTCTAGCACCCAGCCCATCCCAAAAACCCCGACAGCGAGGGTAACGCCCTCCATCTGCGCTTGGTGGTGGCACTCAGTGCCTCGCAGATTGGGCCCCCAGCAGAGAGAAGCAAAAGCTTTTCATTCTCATCCATGGCCATCCTTGCAATGCTGTGGATTATTAGTTATTAAATGAGCATTGGCTGTTGTAGGATGGAACATCAAAGGAAAGTAAAAACCAGGTGCTTTCTGGTGCTTCCCAGACTGGGTAATGATTCCTGAGGAAACACACCGTGATCCCTGTATCACCAGCTTGCACTTGCTTTAGATAGAAGTTCATCAGTAGTGAAAGCCTTCAATGTGCAGTGTTATCAGCTCAGTGCAGCAGAGGCAGAGCACTACCAGCCAGGAGTGCACTGCTTTGGGGTTATTGTCAGGAAAACCTCAGTTTGTGTTTATAAATTCATTCATATTCATATGCACACCAGGTACAAGACTGTATCAGAGCTTTAAAACAAGGAAAGAAAGCCTTTATGCTTTTAACTGCACAGACTGCACTGGATTAGCAAAGAGCTCTGGAACAGAGCTGTTTTGAAGAACTACAAATCCTTGTGTTCCCAGCATAGATCTCACACCTGCCCTGGCATCTCTAGCGTAGAGGATCACTGTGAAATGGAAGGGACACTGTTTAAGGAGCAGTGGTGACAGGAATCACAGGACTTGGTAGGCTAGTGGGAGGGAAAGGTGAGGGTTTGTTTCATTTTTATTAACAAAATTAGGAGGAGGGAGGTGGAAGTCACAGGCTGCTGCTGTCTGTCCATTGTTAGTGCTGGAGTTCCCAGGGGAATGTTCACTCTGGACACTGCCACTGTCCCTCATGGGCACAGCCCCAAGCAGTGCCCACACTGCCAGTCTGACACCCAAAACAAACCCTTGAGCACTGTCTGAGATACATAACAGCCAAGTCCTGGCTGATGGCCAAACATTCTCCAGCACCTTCATCCCGGTGAGCCCATGGCAGGTCCCTTCTGACCACTCAGCAAGTTCCCACACTCAGCCTTGCCCCATGATTTTGTGCTGTCCCCAGGGCAGCTCCATGCAGCCATGCTTTTTTATTTTTTTTTTTTTTCTTATTTCTTTTGGGTTTTTTTACTTAACTCCTAGCTGAGCAGACACTAGACAAAAGTAGAAGAATTGCCATATTTCTCCCCAGACGGAAATAGAGCTTATTCCTGAAAAGGGGGAAGGGGAGGAAAAAGAAGCCATACAAGGTGTTTGGCACTGCAGTATCACCAAACTGACACTTCATCTGCTTTTAGCTTCAGTGGGTCTGGGTAGTTTGCAAAGTTAACCTTTGTCAAGGCATTCCACAGCAGGAACGTTCCTGTCAGGGCCTGAACAAAGCACTGCATCCTCGGTATGCATGCCCACCTCTGGCATCCCTGGAAAGTTGCACACAGACCGGGGAACTGCTGGTCCCTTTTTTTATAAATGTGGTTTCTTGAGAATTGTTTTCTGATCTGTGAAAGCCATCTCTGCCATGGCAAAGGAGCTGTGATTCTGTTGGCAGTAAAGGGAGAAAAACCAAACAACAAACAGTCATAATTTCTCTCCTTTGACCCGGATTATGTGTAGGACATAATGACGGCATTCCTGCTAAGACTGCATTAGCAGAGTCATCCTCATTCTGATTGGAAGGAGATTAATAGTGGTAATAAAGAAATTACACCAGGTTTAGAGAATGGAAAAGTCAACACAGAACAAAAATTACTATTCCAGAGGTAATCCAGGTTTAGAGAATGGAAAAGTCAACACAGAACAAAAATTACTATTCCAGAGGTAATCCATCTCCAGAGGTAATAATCAAGGAATAGAAGCATTTTTGTTATATCTAGCAAATTCTGAATACTTAAAGCGTGCAAGTATTTTGACATCTGCTGTATTCAGCAGCCTGTGGAATAATGAAGTAGAAATGGGGACTAAGGGGTGGCTGGGGAGGTGTGGGGATTGAAAAAGCAGTTCCAAAACGTCTAGACAAAAAGGTTTTGATTGTTTGGGAAAAGTGATTGTGAGGAAGCCCAATAGTGGCACAACTTCACCAACAGAGGGTTGCAGAGACCTGGTGACACCATTCTGACTCAGAGGGAATGTGGGCATTGTGGCTTTTGCCCACCCTCCACCCCACTGGCTGGGTATTTGCAGGCTGAAGAAGTTTCAGGCTGCAGCTTTGCTGGGAAGGGGTTAGGCCAACTTTTGGGTCTAGCCAATTCCTAGTGAACACACTGGGCATTATCAGAATAGAAAGAAGAGGCAGGGAAAAGAACATAATAGACTTTTAGCTATTTTATGTTACCTGAAACCATTTAGTGAGGCCATTACACAAATGTCTCATCCTAATACATGTGTAACCACTGCATTGTCATCACTGCAACTACTCACCAAGCTCACCCTTCCTTATTTCTACAGCACCACCTGTGCAGTGCAAACACTATAAACCAAGAGAGGGGGGAGCACTTCCAACATGTCTAGTGAAGCTTGCACTCATACAAATAGATGGGCAAGGTGGAAACCCAAAGTTATACATGAATGGGGGCTCCCTAACGTGCCTGCAAATAAAATAACTTTGTATAAATAGCCATGGGAGATGACTAGGCTAATAAAAAAATCAGGAAAGAAAAAGGGGACAAATTATTTTTCCCAGGTGTTCAGTCTGCTTGAGCTTGGAAAATTTCTGTAAACAAAGAGGAGGTGACGGGCACATACCCTGTGTTCCTGTGTGTCCCAGTTACTCCTGCACCAGTTGCATTTTCCAGTTGATATCCAAGTGTATGTATATAGATTGTCTTTGTATAGGAGTGAGTGTGGTGGCTGTCAATCGTGATCTTCCAGTATTGTAATTTAACAGATTATGGCTGTATGAAAATGATGTAAATAACTAGAAAAAATTAAACTGATCTCTATGTCCTAGTTTTTGTACATACTGAAACTGCATGGTATTTAAATTATTGTTTGTCTCTGATGTATGCAGTTTCTTAAAAAAAATTCATTTAAAAAAAGCTTTCTGGTCCCTGTGTATTTTACCACCCTCTGTCCCCCATGACTGACAGTGTAACACATGGAGGCTGTCAAGGATACCAGCCAGGCTCTCCCACATCTCCATGGGAGCAAAGCAGGAAAGGGAGACTTCCCAGAGCAGATGGATGGGAAAGACCATATGAGCCCCAAGCACCGTGGCTGGGCTGGTGCAGCTCAGCAAAGAAGAACAAGCGGTACCTCAGCTGCTGAAGGGGT